GCCGCCGCCGTCGACGAGACGCAGCTCCCCAACTCCGACACCTTCATCCCCCCATCCGTGCCCAGAGACGCCCTCCTCTCCGGCGCATCCTCCCGCTACTTCTCCCCCGTCCCGGCCTCCCTGAAGCCCTCGACCCCAGGCGACCCCTCCACGGCGCCGCCCTGCTGCCTCGGCGTCGACGAGGCCGGCCGCGGGCCCGTCCTCGGCCCCATGGTCTACGGCGTCTTCTACCTCCCCGTCCCCCTCTCCGACCCCCTCCTCCGCACCGCCCACCACTTCGACGACTCCAAGGTCCTCACCCCGGCCGTCCGCTCCTCCCTCATGCGCGCCCTCTGCACCCCCTCCACCGACCTCCACGCCTCGTGCGGCTGGGCCACCGCCTCCCTCTCCGCCCGCGACATCGCCGCCAACATGCTCAAGCCCGCGGCCCCCTACAACCTCAACGCCCAGGCCATGGACGCCACCGTCGACCTCATCCGCTCCGTCTACGCCCTCGGCGTCAACGTCACCGAGATCTACGTCGACACCATCGGCCAGCCCGCCGCCTACCAGGCCAAGCTCCAGCGCGTCTTCCCCACCGCCCGCGTCACCGTCGCCAAGAGGGCCGACAGCCTCTACCCCTGCGTGAGCGCCGCCTCCGTCTGCGCCAAGGTCACCCGCGACGCCGCCCTCGAGGTCCTGTACGACGCAAGGGGCGAGCCTGCCGCCGCCGGCGAGGGCATGGCCTGGGGGTCCGGGTACCCCTCGGACGCCCGCTGCGTCGGGTGGATGAGGGGTAATATGCACCCTGTCTTTGGTTGGGGGGCTGAGTGTCGCTTTAGCTGGGGCACGGCCAAGGATATGTTTGAGGGCAAAGGGGACAGCGTCAAGGTGGACTGGCCGGTGGAGGACGACGGCGAGAGCAAGCTCACTGATTTCTTCGTTTCTGGGGACAATGGCGGCGAGGCAGATGAGCTCGGGACTTGGTTTGGGAGCTCGACGGGCCTGGAGGCGTTTTAACCGGTAGTCTTACTTAAGGCATGGCGTTTTGGAGCAAACGACGTATAGATCATCACAGCGAAGGCCAAGTTTGGCGTTGAAGGGAGGGAATGTTTGGAAATTTGAAAGCTTTTTGTTTTTATGGTCAATTATGTATTTGCAGCTCACTGCTTGGACCAGGATGTGCTCAACAATGTTAAACAGCTATAATTATTACATCAAAAGTCATCATCCTCGGTGGATGCGTTGGTCTTCTTGCCCCTGCTGTCCAAGTTGTCCAGACCAATGTCGTCGCTGGTGCTGTTGCGGTTGGCGGGGACGCCGACGGCCTGTCTGCCGCCTTCGGAGTTGATGATGTATTCACGCAGTCTCGCCTTGCCAATGTCAAGGCCCTGGGTGATGGCGGCATTGCCCATGTGCATCATAGGACCAATGAGATTGAGGGTGTAGGCCACATATGTGCCACCTGCAATGAGGAGGAGGAGCAGGATCAGGACTGGGTTTCGAAGAACTGTAAAAGGCGGTTAGTAACAATGCTCAGTTGAGTTGGTGTGCCAAACGTTTGATGCTTACCAGTCAAGATCTCGTTCCAGCCAAGGGCAAGGAGGAGCATGTAGAAGTACCAGGGGATCTGAGCGACTCCACCAATTGCGCTTCGCTTGGCTTCCACGAAAACACCATCTGCGGTCTTCTTGAACCGCACAACCAAATCCTGTCGCTTGCTCTCGCTGAGCACAGTGGTCTCTTCTTCGAGGCTCTTGCCCTCCTCTTCGTCAACACCTCCGATGGGTGTCAGGTCCTCTTCATCTCCAGCTTCAACTCCAGAAGGCTGCGGGCCAATAAAGGAGATGAGGTCAGGCGGGGCGTAGGTAGATGCGAGCCTGAATCTCGACAGCAGAGGAATGAGCTTGAGAGTTGACTCCCTGGCCTTGGTGTAAATACCCTCGATATCGTCGGTAGGACGCCATATCCTTGGCACTCCAGCCTCATCGTAGCGGAACTTGTCCTCGAAGTTTTCGCGGAGCTTCAAGAGGATGTTTCCTTCCATGACCTCTTCGTCAATCTTGTCCCGCAGAGCTACCCAACTCTTGCGACGTAAGCGCCAAGTGCCAACCTCGACCTCCTCATCACTAGCATCGAAGCTCTTTGCCCGGTCAACAAATCGTACCTCAGCCTCCTTGACAATGCCAGTAAACACGGTCCAGATTCTGTCCCAGAGATCCTTCTCTGTTGCAGACTTTCCTTCGGCTTCAGAAGCATCGGAGCCGGCCCTACCGGATCCAAGCTTGTTGAACTCCACGCCGATTGCTTCGCCGAGTCGGGATTTGACCCATCTCTCCACGCGCACAGCCAGGCGTCGCATTTCTTCCTTGCGAAGTTTTCCACTCACTTCATCGAGTTCCGACTCGAACAGCACATATTGGGACTTGAAGTTGGTCCAGGGCACACCTTCGATCGCCAGACCCTGCGCCTCAGTCTTGAAGATTTCGAGCGTCTTCTTCTTCTCGTTGGACACGATCTCGGCAAATTCATAGGCGCCGCCTGCTTTCTGTCCTGCCTTGACCTTGTTGGAAACGGCCTCGCTGAAAGCAGCAACACCAGCCTTGTGTGCGGCAGTGAGCTGCCCCTGGTACAGCGCCTTGAGGCGGGTATCGATCTTGCCCTCCAGCTCTTGTCTCTTGCGGGTGTAGACGCCCTTGTGGTACCGGCTAGCTTGAATCTCAAAGGCTTTGATGGCCGCTACCCTGGCCTTGCTACCGGAAGGTCCTAGGTCCTCAAGGACCGTAGGCTTGCCCAGTCTCACTGCTTCGGCCTGCTTCTCTTCGAGCGGCGAGATGACGTTGTCAAAGGTGACGAGAACCTCTCGAGAGATCTCGTCGCATCGGAATTGGGCGAGAAGCTCTTGCTGCGTAGGAAGATCGAGATCCTTATTGTTCACGATTTGGTCCCAAACTCCTTCTGCGTAGACGGAGAAACCATCGGCAGGGATTCTCCTGTGGTACTCGGGCAGGAAGAGGCCGCCCTCAAGCTCGTTCTCGCTGCGACTGCCCTTACTGCGGTGGCCAGCGGTGAATCTCGAGCCAAGAACCTGAACCTCGCTGACGAACTTCTCGCCCTGCAGAATCTTGTGCGGTAGTGCGGCGAAGCCGAAATCAAAGTAGTCCTCAATACGGGACTTCTCGAGCCCCTGGGGTTTGGAAATAGACGACCAGATCTTGGTCAGATCCTGGATCAAAGTCTCTCGAAGGTTAGCAAGAGGAGTGGTGCCGATATGATCGCGGATAACGAAGAAGAGAAGCGACCGGGGGGTAGACCTGATGTAAGTTGTTAGAAATATTAGGCCGTCACCGCCCAAGGCGACATGCACTCACTGTTTGTCCTTGAGAAACAGCTGAAGGTTGACCTCGAAGACAGTCTTGAGCAGACCCATGTTTGCGCCCTGATATAAGCCGACTTGGTGCTCCCAAATGTTGAGCAGGAGAACCTCGCTTGTGGCCAGCGCAAAAAGCGCGCTCTTCCTCTCGAAGTCCTGGTCCTCGCCACGTTCTCGGCCGTCAGTCCCCTCGACGTCCATGACCAGGATGTTCTCCGCCATCTTGGTTCCGGCACTCTCGGTTCGCTTGTTCTTGGACAGCCAGATACCCTTGGTGGTCTGCTGGCGCTGAGTCTCGGACATGACGGAGAATTCGGTTCCAAAGAGATTGTTCAAGAGGGTGGACTTTCCGGTGGACTGCGACCCGAAGACGGAGATGAGGTGGTAGTTGAAGCCAGCTTCGGCCACATGCTCGAGTTGGAGGTACTCATTGAGGTTGGTGCTGCGGATTGAGGTTCGGGTCAGTCAAGGAAGGGCGGAGGGCCGGTGCGCGGTTGACATACTTGAATTCCTTGTCCTCGTCAATGACCTGTACGCCATGCATGAAGCTGCCAGCAGTCGGCTGGTCGCCGACTCTTGCCATGTGGCCATTCATTTGCGCAAGTTGGGGGGAAGCTCAGCTTCCAGCTCCAGCATTAAAATTAATTAGAGGTGGCGGGAGGCGGGAGAGCGGGATAGGTAGGTAAGGAGAAAGGACAGAACGCAAGCTCAACGAAGGAGAGAAACTTGGCTCGAAGCTCTAATTCTGTGCTCGGGTGGCAGCGGTGTAGGTAGCGAAGGGACAATGTCCAGGGCCGACCTCCCTTGTTCAGGCCAGGTTAATATACGGATGGGATGGTATAAGAGGGACGGTCCAACAAACCGCCAAACATGACATGTAATATGTGTTCATGTGGGCTGGCCAGCTGCTGGGGCTGGGGACTTAGCATGTTGTGTGGCGGGCAAAGGAGCAGCGAGCAAGGGTCAGGCGTGGCGGGGAGCCAGTCCGAGACCCAACCTTTTTCCGCCTCCGAGGCCCCTCGAGCCTCTCCATACAATTAGGACAGCTCGAGCTGCGAATCGGACGGGAAAGCCTCCAAACTTGCTGCGCCGGCCATGACGTAGAGGTGCTAGCATCTTTTCGGCGCCGTCTGTTGTCTAAGTAGGAGCTGGGCGCGATTGTGTCAAGTGAGCTGATCCTAGGGGTCTGCGCTATTCTGGTGCGCTGGCACGACAGAACGTGACCTCTGTCCGACTGACCAGCGCTGCCTCTGCCTCTCTCTTTTATTTCATTACTACCATCAGCCTGGACGCCGTCACACACTCGCCAGTCAGTGATGATAAATCTTCACTATCGCCCATTAGTCCTCCTGCCTGCTGTGCCTGTGTACACTCGAGGCAACTGGCCCCCACTGCCTGGCTGATCCAGCACCACATAATCATTACCTACCAACTATGTACTGCCTAGTAATATATCATATATGCAGGTACATTGAGTGCCACATCAAATAAGAACCACCACCAGCCACAGCGCGAATTTGGATTTCCATATTCAAACGTGACGTCTCGCCGTTATATCTGCTGCTCTGGGACCTGATCTTCGCTCTTTTTTTGCCCCTCCTCCTCGCATTCCGCCCATTCTATACTTGCGTGTTTACCAATCGCCAACATGTTGATCACAGAGTCTTTTGCCGATGTGCAGACCGTTGCCAATGGCAAAGAGAGCACCATGCGTATGCTCACCCCGCCTCAACCCCTCCAACAAAAATAGCCCCAAAGCTCATCACATGCAAATGCAAAACAGGCATCTATGTCTTCCACCCGACCATTCCAGGCTACCCAAATGCGTATGCAGATTCGTCTTCATCTCCCTCCCAAGGCTCTCCGTTCACTCTTGAACTGACCAGCAATCCTTTCATAGTCGCTTCCCTGGCGTGGCTCTCTTCAGTGAGATCTATCAAGGTATGATGGACACACTGTGCAATGGTTAAACATCAGCCTGCCTATCAAACCCCAACTTACTCTTGTCGTTGATCAAAGTCACTGGCCCCGTTGCCAGATTCGCCCGTCAAATCGCCGGGCATGGCTACATCGTAGCCGCCCCATCCTCCTACCATGACTTCGTAGGCCCGGAGCCTCTGGCGTATGATGCCGCCGACACAGACCGCGGGAATGACTTCAAGATCAAGAAGGTTCGGCATCACAAACCATTTTAGCTCTCACGCTCCCTACTCCCCAACTTACACAAACCCTCCAGACCCTCGAGTCCTATGACGCCGACTCATACAAGACCGTCGACCACCTCCTGAGCCTCCCAACCTGCACGGGACTCATCGGCTCCACGGGCATGTGTCTCGGCGGCCACCTCGCCTTCCGCGCAGCAGTACGCCTCCCCCCATTGCCCAAACCCTCATGAACCTCCTCCCATCCTCCCTCCTAACTCCCAACCAGCTCGACCCCCGCATCACCGCCAGCGTGGCCTACTTCGCAACAGACATCCACTCCCGCACCCTCGGCCCCCACGAGGCCCGCAACACCTCCCCGGACCCTGCCCCCTCCAGCAACCACACCCTCGACCTCATCCCCCGCCTCGCCCACGCCGAGGTCGCCATGATCTTCGGCGTCAAGGACACCCACGTCGACGGGCCCGGCCGCGACCTCATCCGCTCCAAGCTCCGCGACGCCGGCGTCACCGCCAGCTTCCACGAGTTCGCCTGGGCCCAGCACGCCTTCATCCGCGACGAGCTCAGCAAGGGCCGCTACGACCCGGCCGTCACCAAGGTCTGCTTCGAGATCCTGCTCGAGCTCTTCGGCCGCGCCCTCAAGACCGACCTTGGAGCCAAGGACGGCCGGGTCGCTCCTCCCGAGCACGTTTGCTAGAAGTGTAAAGTCAAAGTATGAGAATGAAACTGAAACTAGTAATATTCCTTGACAGCTCACATCACCAAGTGAAAGATCCACGACGTAGCTCATGTAATGGCGTATGATGTAGAAGAAAGGTAGTTTATTGTCCATATTCAGTCTGTGTAGATAGGCCGTTCTTCTTTTCAGGCATAAGCGGAGACATCTCGGCTCCTGTGTTGAATACTAATAAAAAAATGTTACATGCCACGACATATCTGTCGTCTTAACCAAGGGGCATTTCACCATAGAATAGAACATAAAAAAAAAGGCGGTCAAAAACAATTCAAACAATCTATCCTTCCTGGACACCGTTGTATACCAAAATGCAGCCCGGGCAAAAAGCAGAAATCTATTTCCTGCAGCCTATCGAAAAAAAAAATCGATATTTTGTTTATAATCATTCCTCATCATTGTTTTGCCCAAGGCTCACCATTAGCGCTGGCCTGCGGGAGGTGGTGGCCCTTGGTACCCAGGGGGGTATCGCTGCTGTCCTTGCGACTGCTGCGACTGGCTGGGATGAATGGATCCTTGTGTCTGAGTGGCTGATAGGCCGGCTCCGTGGGTGGACTGATATGAGGTGGTGGGATACAACCCCATCTGGGCCTCCTCATCGAAGAAGTCCCTGCGGCTATGCGTTGGCGAAGCCGGGATGGCTGCTCCTCGAAGGCTCGCAGAGTGAGCTGGCAGTGTATCACCGGCCTTACGACGACCGCCACCGGTGCTTGCCCGCTTCACTAGATCATTTCGGGGAATATCCAAGGACATCGACCGACCATTGTCGCCATCAGGGTGCAGAGTGTGGTTGTCCCAGTTGGTACCTGTACCGGCCATTTCAACCACTGGAGGACGGGCGCTAATGTTCTCAATAGCTTCTTCCTCCTTCTTGTCCAGGGGAACAAAGCGAGCTTCTTCCTTCTTCTTTGAACTGTCATCGCGTGCCTTTGTAGCGAAGTCATCCGAAACGGCAACAGAGTATGTAGGATTGCTAGGGCCGCCAAGAGCATCAGCACCACCGGCAGGGCCATAGATTGGGATCTTCTTCAAAGCAGTTGCCAAGGCACAAATGAACTTGGAGCGGCGAGTAGCCCTAACCATCTCGTTGTTCCAGTTAGACTTGTGCATGATGGAGAACTTGAGGGTGAGCTTGTCAAGATCGTTGACGCCACCAATACCAATGGTGAAGTTGGGCTGGAAGTCGCGCGAGTTTTCGGGTGACCGGACAAAGCCTTCCATCTCCTGGCGCAAGAGTTCAATCTCTTCAAATGTAGTGTCGAAAGACACGTCAATCGCAATGCTCTCAGACATGGCCTTACTACGGGTGATGTTGTCAACCCACAGGTTGTTGAGTTGAATGTTGGGCACCTATACGTCCTGTTAGTCAACCCACGGAGCGCGAGGAGCGGCGCGGCATACCTGAGTGATCTGGCCGGTAGAGGTGCGAGTGAAGACAGTGTAGAGAAGGGAGATTCTCTCGACGATGAGCTGAACGTCGCTGATGTAGACGCGGTCACCGACATCGTAAGGGTGCTTGACAAACAAGAAAATGCAGGAACCAAGGAATTCCTGGCAAGTCACGGCGAAGATGAAAGACAGAGAAAGCAGGGTGGTACCAGCAGATGCAATGGTCGTGACAGCGCTACTTTGGAAGAAAGACACTGTGCCCACACGTTAGTCTGAGGTCGTCGACGAGATGGTAGAACGGGGATATGCTTACGGAAGATGAAAACAACGATCAACAACACCACAAACAGGAGAACTCGATCGAACGCGCTGAGGGCCTGTCCAATATCCTTCATGCCTTCAGCGATTGCGATTCGCTCTTTGCCAATATCCACGACTTTGCGGATCATTTCTTGCAGACTGATGTCTCCATTGCCATCGCCATCCAGGGCATTGAAGGCTTCCTCGGCTTCAGCCTTGAACTGGGGTCCAAGCACTTCGGCCACATCTTCAAAGTAAAGAGCATCCTTTCCCTCGACAACGAAAGACATCCAAATACGACGGGCCAGCGCCTCCGACGACTTGAGCTTTTCGAGGGCTTCGAGAACGACGGAGTGAGTCGAGTTGGGGTTGAACACCTTCTTTCCAGTAATCTCGGAGGCGATGTTGCCAAAAGCAGATGTAACCTTGTCACCAAAGCGACCGACCTCACCGATCAGCTTCGTGGGGTTGACAACACCAGACTTGCCGCGTTGGTGCCTGGCTCCTCCAAGCTTGGCCTCGATAGTGTCGTTGATGACATAGTCCTCTTCCACGAACTCGGGGCTGTACATGGGAAAGAGAGCCTTTGAAGCATCATAGAGCATACCGAGCAGGTGAACCTCTCTCTTGGACTCCTTGATACGGTTGGCAAATGATCGCTGATGGTACGAGACGGCAATGAGCTGAACGATGGCCTTCTCACCCAGAAAAACTGCGGACGAGACGAAAAGAGACCCAAAGATTCGGTTCAAGACCTTGATCCAGCCCAGGTCGTTCCATTGCTTGAAAAGATTAATGTTCGTCAACCAGACGGCCAGGGCCCAGAAGAACAAAGAGAGGGGAAGCTGAAGGCTGGTCAAGACGGCAGCGTACTTGCGAGTTCCCGCACTGACCACACCAACGAATGTCATGACAGTCTGTGGAAGGCAGTACGCGACCAACTTGGCGAGCCAAACCGTGCACCAGGTGATTTCGATCCAAAGGAACAGCCTGAACAAGGGCGGGCCTTCCAGGGTCGGATCATCAGACTCGGGTAGCCTGTTGGTCTCCTTTTTCCCAAGAGCAGCCAAGACGACGGGGGGGACGGCAAGAATAATGGCAACGGGGACAATGTACACCAAGTATCGCGAGACAATGGAGAAGCTGAAGAGCTTGGTGTAGAGTCGGCCCATGAAATTCAGGCGGGCAGGCTCGTCGTCGCTGTCGCCGGTACCTCGACGACCAAGCTTCTCGCTGCCAGTCTTTCTGCGCCCACGGCTTAGGAAGTGAAGACCGCTCTTCTCCTTCTCCAGGTTATCCGAGCCGCTGGTGGAGGCGTTGCCCATCGTGGGCTTGCGAGCGCCGGTCGAGACATTGCTCTTGACGGTGGTGAGCTGGATGCCTTCCTCAGACATCTTGTTGGTTCCGCTGCCCTGTAGCTGAATGAATCCGGAGTTGCGTTTCAGGGAGGGAGGCATCGCTAGGCTTTAAGCAGAGACTCTCTCTAGACGAGGTGCCAGGTTGGCCGTGGTGGAGAGGATGTGGGGAGAGGGGGGGTTAGATGTGTGTCGTCGATTCGTTCGTTCGTGCTTGGTTTGCCGAGCGTCAAGCTGCAGAGCATCCAGTACGGTCCGAAACAAGGCAGAATATGTCGATCGACTAAAAGATTGGGAGCGAGTGAGAGGCCTCTTTCATGCGAACGGCCGACTTTAACTACTCCGCGGGGCCTGTGTGTTCGAGTCTAGCTCCGAACAAACAAGCAACGAGAGTCGGAAAGAGGTGGTTCAAAGGAAGATATTTGTTAATGAACAATGAGCAACTCCCCAAAAAAAAAGGAGGCGCACGGAAAGAACGAAGAGAGAGTGTACGTCGGCGAACTTTCTCTGCCCCAGTCAGAAGCAGTCACGGGCGTGTTCTTCAGAAACGACGGTTAATAACGAGAGTAGGAAAGGAGTGCATGGAGAAAAACGAATGTACGGGGTACCCAGATGGATATTATTAGGACGGAGACAAAGCCAGGCAACGTAATGATGGAGAGGAATGGGGCGTGTACAAGGAGCTGTGATTTTTTTTTTTTTCCCCTACGTTCTCTTTTCCCTGCTGGCATCGAGCACCAGCGAACCAGCGACAGCTCTGGATGGAGGGCCAAGCTAAGATCCCAGCCTGTGGATTGGTGGCTTGCACGATCAAGAGCCGGTGTTGGAAACAAGCGGGGCCTGGCGGGAGGCATTCAGGGGTCTAGCGCTGTACTCTGTACTTTGCTTCCCTGAGGGCTGAAGCACCAGATGCACAGCGCCTTCCTACTGGGTGGTGGGGGAATGGGCCAGTGGGCAGCAGGCGGGACCCGCGGCCCTGATTGGCTAAAGAGTTTTTTTTCAGCAATGAACGCTTCGCTTGTCAGCTGTTTCAAAAGCAGCCTCCTTGTATGAAACTCAGACCAGCACCAGGGGCACGCAAAAGCAACACCATTTCCATAGTCATGTATGATATTAGAGCTGACCGCCTACCTATACCTAGTCTACGCATCAACCAGCCAGTCGTTGGAAAGGGGTGCCTTCTCTGGTCGCTCACGTTCGTGTGAACCGAAATTACTCTTCAGTGGCTCGATCCTCACGGGGGGGATGCTGGAGATCACGTATCATTAGATCGGCCCAGCCAGATCCCGAGTGATCATCATAAATCTGGAAAATCACTGGCTGCCGCGTCTCTCCCTCCCCTCGCGAGTGGCACACAGCAATGTAGGTCGCTGATCAACTATACCCAATTCCCATTTTTGTGCTTGCAGGCTGGAGGGGGCACGGCACAGTGCACTCCTGCCCCGTGACCCCTTGCAAAGCACAGTGAACTTTGCTGGCCGTACCTTGGGATTCGAACCATGTACATATCCGATTGCGCGATGCAGGCGGAGAAGCCCGTCCAAAGAGCTCGTGTACACTCCACCTCGTCCCTGCTGGTGCTATTTCTGCGATCCCAGGCCTGTGAGAGGCCGACGAGTGGGCTGACTGGAGTTGCCGACCTTCTGGCTGGGAGGTTCCATCACTCGCAGCTGAGTTGAGTTCCCCTTTACCCCTTACTCTAGCGTCTGCGCCACCAATCCAGCCACCAACCCAACCTAAGACAACACCGCCGAGCACCAACGTACGGACCGAGTCTGGTGCACTCTTCGCTTCCAGCAGATGACGTTGCATCGGTACGTACGTACTCCGTGCCTTGCAGCACCTGCGACACGGCTCTTCCCCCTGGCGTCCGCCCCCCGAAGTACACGCTACCCTCACTAAAAGGGGACCAACTCCCTGAGACGGCAATTGATCAGAGAACACCTCGGAGCAGCAACTCAACCACCACCAATGCACGAAGGTGGCTCCAATACGAGATCCACCACCAACCATCACTCATCCAGGAATCCTCGTGTGCATTCCTGCTCCTCCTCGAAATGAAGCCTCCCCACCCTTGAGCTGGCCTCGCATTGGCACGTCAATGCACCGACCACCCTCCCAAGGCTCCTCCCCCCGTTGCTTGTTTCAATCTCGCAGTCCAAGCTTTCCATCGGATCACATAAGACCTTACCTCTTATGCCAGACCCTGATAGTGCCATGTTCTAGATAAACGCAGCGTATATCCCGTGGATGTCTAGACCCGACATGGCCATGACCCTGCAGGCCGGGCATCCATCCCCAACCCGACCCGTAAACGCCATGTGAACTAGCGTCCCTCGCGTGCGTGTCCAGCTCGACAACCGTTTTGCCATTGCTCCCTCGGCCTAGCGCCTGGCGCGGGTTTACCTGTCACCCGGAAAAGGTTCGATGCCTTCTCCATCCCAACCTGCGTGTATCCATAGGTTGGGACGACATGACCTCATCCGACCTCTGAAGTTGTTCATCGGCCAGCGGGGCCAGTGGCAAAGGCCTGCGCAGTTTCGGCCATCCGTAGTTCCGTCGTCATCACGACCATGAGGACTTAGTTCCAGCCGTCCCACCGACGTAAGGGTTTTTAGTTCTTACTTTCGAAAGCTTTTGAAAGGCAAATCGGGTTCTACATTCACCCCGGGAGGCTTGCGCTGATTCTTGAAACGCAATCGTTCTCCCGGCGTGCCACATACCGTCTTTAGCACCCAGTGCCCTTCGTGACTGTTGCTGTCAATGTCTTTTGTATACTAATTATATGAAACAAGGTGGAAAAAGGAACAACCAGATTATTGGGATCAATATTGCTCTCACTTATTATAGCACTCTTGCTATATGCCTGCCCTTACCCAATAATAGATTTTAATTAAGCAAATCCATGCATTGACGCAAGATGTAAGGCATCAGTCACACACCGGATTTTCGTTATTTCATAACCCTGTAGGTATTACAATATGTATTTTGCATTTATCTGTGTTTATCTGTGTTGTATAGTAGATACTATTCTGTAGCAGGAAAGTAGGTGTGATTGCTGGGGTATCTTTTAACAAAGCCGTCGGTCCATATCGTGAGTCCCATTCCGTGGTATCGTGAAGACATGAAGAAAATGTAAACCAAAACAAATGATTGAAAACAGTGATCAAGGTACCCAAAAAACGCCAGGAATATGTTCCGCTGTAAAGGATTAAAATAATGAAGGGGGAAAGGCAAATGGGCCCAGGACCGCTCATATGGAGTGAGAGTGGTGTATCGTAGCGGGATATCCAACCAAGTCTTTCATCTCGACTCTCGACTTCTCATTTTCATAGCTGGTGTCTACTTCATCAGCTTCAGGAATTGGTCCGTTATCAAGCTGATAAAGGGGCTCAAGGGTGGCCGTCTTGTCGAGGAAAATCCAGCGCTTGACCCACCATGGTAGAGCTTTGGTTATCTGGTAGTGCATAAAGACGCGCGTTGGCACTGCAAAGATGTAGTCCAGTTCCTCCAAGGTCCGCTGCTTTGTTTCCGGGAGCCAGAGAAAGATCATCCCCAAGGCGATGACGTTGAAGCCGGCATAGAAGAAGAATGAGCCAAGGACTCCAAGTCTAAGCAACATGAGAGGGAAGGTAATGGACACAACCGCAGCGAAGAATAGGCATGCTGCGACAGCCGAGGCCATCCCGATTTCTCGATGCGAGAGAGGGAAAACTTCTGCAGCATATGTAAAGGGAACTGGGCCCTCTCCAGGTGAGTAAAAGGCGGCGTATAGATAGACGAAGAAGGCCACCATGCCCAAATGTGCACCCCCTTTTCCAGGGATGAGCGTGGACAGGCCAGCAGCCATCAGCGTCCACGCCATCTGGGGAAAGGTGAAAAGGAGGAGTGATCGTCTTCCAAATGTGTCAATTGTCCAGATGGCTGGAAATGCAAATAGAAAGTTGATGAGGCCGAATCCCCATGAAGCCAAGAGGGCTTCGAAGTCATTAGCCCCAGCGTCCTTGAACACCGTCGTCGAATAGAAAGCAATGATGTTGATACCACACATTTGCTGAGCAATCATGACGGTGAACGCCGCAAGTGAGGCCCGACGTATTCGAGGAATCGTGAAGAGTTCGATGATTCGGTTGAAATAGTTGCCTTTACCCATGAACTGGTGTTCCAGCTCGAGTTGAACATGAATATAGTATAGATCACGGCCCGCCTGGACAGCATTGTTTCTCAGAAGAAGAAGGGATTTCATCGCATCTCGGTATCGGTTCTTCTTCATGTACCAACGCGGGGATTCGGGACAGAAATAAATCAAGATGGCGAGAGGAACCGCCGGGATCACGGCGGAGCCGAGCTGATATCGCCATGCCTCGGGGCCGAACGAGGAGACAGCAAGATTGGCGCAAGTTCCCAAGAATATGCCAAAAGCGGTCCAAAGCTGCCAGCTGTTATCCAGGGCATCCATGTCAGTCCCATAGAGCAAGCAGCAGTTGTAACTAAGTATTCACTCACCCCATGACGAGAGCACCACGAATGGGCGCCGGAGAATTCTCCGCAGCAAAGATTGGGACTATCAAACATGTGAGTAACGGCCAAATTACACGCGATAATGTCCGGAAGGGGAGCCAAACCAGTAGAAGCCTTCGTTCCCATACCAATCCCGATCAACATACGACATATCAGAAGCTGCTGCCATGTATTGCAAAAGGCACTTCCCACAACGGGCCAAAGACAGAAGTTTGCAGCGAAGAAAATGGTACCTCGCCGACCTACTAAACTGTTGATAGGATCCGATAACCAACACCCACAAAGAGATGTCCCGATATAGGGAGCTGCGTTGACGAGACCAACGAGCAGCTTGTCGTTTATGCTATCGCCGCCGATCCCAAGGGCGCCGGGAAATGATACGGTTGCGCCGTTCGTCCCTGTTTGGTCCCATCCCTGAACGATCGCCCCGATAGAGCAGCTAACCACGGTCAAAAAGAGCACACTGCTGATACGCCACTTGTGGAGAATTTCGTCGCGGAGGGCATCGATTTCCACCTCGGTCAGAGCCTCCTCGCCCGTAATATCCTCATATCCAGTAGGGTCCCGGGCAACAAGAGCGCCCTTTCGAATCACGGCGCGATGCTCCTCGAGTCCCTTATCGCGAACGAATTCGTCAACGGCGCGCAGGAGAGTTCGGACCGACAGGCCGGAAAGCGGATTCTCGATTCTATACGATAGGTCAGGAACCTGTAGAGGGCAGTGAGCCGCCATCAGAAGATGACGCACCTTGCTTCGACATTGGCGTTGAGGTTGACATGTTTGCTTCTCGGGCGGAAGCGAGTCTGCGAGGTGGGTGAGATCGGTTGATGATCGCGAAGCCTACTAGAACTGTGAGACGAAGGCAAGTGTCAGCAGCAAAGTCAGTGGGTGGGATGAAGGCAATCGTGAGAGCGGTAGTGGCATGTCCCAGACAGTGAGACAGCGAGGGAGAGAGGCAGGTTCCGGGCGTATGAGAGGAATCGGGGGAGGGTTGATTTACGATTCGGCCTCAACCTCATCAACATCGACGGCAGACGACGACATGGCTAGCCGTCGACTTGCGACAGCGGCCGCCGCCAGGAACAATCAATCGAGTCAGATCACTCAAAGGAGGCGCGGGGAACAATTTCAACGAGGAGTCATGCGAGGCTCCAGCGGGAGCAGATCGATTCGTGGTGATAAGACAAGACTCGCGGATCAAAGGGGTTGCGATCTGCTGAGGGGGAGGAATGCAGTATGGAACAAGCGCTGTGGAGGCGAGGCGGCAAGGGAAACAGAGATGGCAGCCAACGACATAAGGAGCCGTGGGCCTGTAATCATAACTAAAGATCTGGCTCTATTGCGATGCGAATTGAGGGGAGCAGGTACGGCAAGGAAGCGGAACACAGCAAAGCAGATACGATGGGGAAAGCTGGGACGAGATACCGGTAAGAGGATTGTCGACTAATGAACAAATGGGTGGGGGATCCACTAGTGGGCGAATGAAGAGCTGAAGAGGATCGTGGAGAACAGATGAGCCTGGGGAAGGCTCGACTATTAGCACACTAGCCGGATCCCCGTCAAAGTCCCAAATTCAGCTGGGCGGCGGCCGAGCCCTCAATTCGGGAGAGTCAGTCACGGCACGTATATGCATGGAGTAAGCAGCCACTGTCTCTCATCACACTGCATCGCCGGCCAGCTAGATCATCTTTTCGGGCAGCCTCGTCGAGATTCTGTTGGCCCCACGCGCGAACACATGAGTCTATTGAGGTGTTCCGACTCCCCATGGAACCTGACCATGAGACAGCAAGGATCCATCCCATCCCAGGCCATGTGAGACCGTTGCTACCAAATGCCACCTACCACCCAGAGAATCCTCCACCCCTGCAACGAACCAGCCCACCACGGCTCGGGGAAGGAGCCGAAATGCATCGTACATTGTGCGCCCGACGGTGCAGTCAGCAGAAGAGACCGACGATAGATTTGCAGTCAACCAGGTGGAAATCAACGCTCGGATCTCCTTCCTTCGCACCTGCCCTGAGTCATATTTCGGCAATCGGCGATGGTCCAGGCGTTAGGGGATGAATATCCAACTGTCCAGCTTCCAGAGAGAGCATGGTACAGCAAACCTGGGCTATAATGATATTAAAAGAACACCCTTTATGTCATTATATAGTGAGTTACTTACTAACTAGTTCTCTATTATTTTACCTATAAAGGCTACTAAAGGATTCTTAATAATCGAGGATGCGCTGCTTCCCCCTCCGATTTGGCGGCATCCCCCAAACAGGCAAGGTGGGCAAGCTGCCGCACCTCTTTGAGATGGACATACTCATCTGCCATGACTCGTCCGGTTTGAGAAGTAGGGAGGGTCTTCTACTATTTCAAGTCCTCTTAGACAATCTATCATTGACTCAAGCCCCTGAGCCACTGCCATTTCCATTGCTTCATCATATCGTCCCAAAGTAACGTTATACCCCTGTTCCAAAATCAAATGGAGCATAGGTAAATTCTCACACTTGATAACTTCTGTCAGAATCTCACGAGGGGTGAAGTCTGTTTCAAATGTTATTTCACGCTCAAGAATTTTCCTAACGATCTCTACACTTCCAGCCCGGGTGGCCGCGTTAAGCACCTGGCCATGGTGATCCACGTCCCGATCGAGCAGAAAATCGACTATATCTTCATAGCCTCCGCGACAGGCTTGGTAGAGAGGATTGCCATATCTGCCACGGGTACCACCCCTGATCTTTGAACTGGGGCCGGAAACATGGCGTACCATGACCACATTGCCGTATCGAGCGTATTGTGCGATCTGATTGCGTTGCCGAATCTGCTTATCGGTCTCCGTATTGGTATCATAAGAGAAACTATCGGTAATAAAATCGTATATGGCTGGTGTGCGGGAGAAGTATTGGTTGGCGAATATACCTATAGAGATGATGGGCTTGGAAATAGCAGGCGGATAAGGCCGTACACTTGGCGGGAAAAGCACATTGATGAATAAATGCAAGTTTCCATTAGCCATCGCACCCCATATAGCGTCTTGTGTGTTCTCGTAGGCCCATTCAAAATAGCTTTGATCATCCGAGAATTCGAAGGAGGCTCTAGAGAGGATATGCCTTTGGAATAGATCCAGGATAGAGAAATTCCCGCGGAAAGCGGCGATCCATATTGGTGAAGGGAATAGGTCGCAACGGTCAGTTGGACTGTTTCTGGTTAGAATTTATTTACGCATGTATAAAAGCCTAAAGAACTGGAATACTGACTTGCAAACACTATTATGCTGCTCTAGTAGGCTCTCGACAACTGCAGCCTGGTCAAAAAAAGCAGCAGCGCAGAGCAAATTGAGTTGGGCGCTTGATGGCGGCTCACGAGGCTGCTCAGGTATTTGCTCCACGGTGGAGGGGTGAATGTGCCATATATCAGTCTCTGGGTTTATCCATAGCCTTTTTTCACCAGGACGGTTTGTACCTCGCTCCAGCCCCAACCAGCATAGACCATTGACAATTTTGTATAGCACTGGCGGCGTGCGGGCGACACACCTGGATGCGGGGAACTCTCGTTAGGCTTGCAGTACCAAGCGCTGGTGGCAACACCCCAGCGTTCCGATGAAAAGTTGGCTGTTAGTGAGATTATATAAAGCCTCGGCAGCTTTGCGGATTTCGACAAAGCGTCCCACTTCTGGATCTGCTTCGCCAAGGACGCGGGCGACAAGATACTGCTGCCAGAGCCTGTTAGGTCCATGCTGATCATCACGCATCCACCAGTGGCGGCCTATTTGAGGGGCAGAAACATCATCGAGGATACGTGAGTTATAAAGAGCCGGGATAAAGCACTCGTTAAATCGCTCTGTATATACAATCAGCTGGGTGATGAACCTATGTTGGTTGATCCTCTTTGCTAAAGCTACTTACTACACACCAGCCTCAATCTGAGACCGCGCACAACGCCTCGGAAAAGGATGCAATTGATAAGTAGAAGGTGGATGAGTTCATTGGGTAGGCTTAAGATAGACATTTTGTCGGGAGCAATCAGGAAGTGGCTGTTTATATGCGCTGGGGGAGGGGGAAGAGTTGTTTGGCCGTAAAAATTAAAAGCCATGATGATTTTCTTTCGTTCATGGTATGGAACAGGGTGTCTAGACCTGTATTAATAGCTTCTGGGTAGATACCAGCCAACGGACCTCCGATTAAATTCACCAGGCTTGCCAGCCAACGGACAAGTACAGAGTACCTTTCTCTTGACCCAAACCTCAGTCGTCCCCACACTGCAAGTGCCCGGCAAAACCCACTGGATTTAGCAGTGTCAGCAGCGCTTTCTCTGTTTAATCAGTAATAAAATATACATAGTAGGATTCCTGGGGTCAACGGCCCATCCCTATTCTCGCGGGAGCAGACGTAAAGTCAGCAAGCTTTTGAACCCTAGCCTGTCCGCAGACTAGGTCGGAAGTCTCTTATCGTCTCTGGGTGCAAAATCTGCCATCAGGTTGCCCAGAAGTAAATACGCGTTGGGTTTCAGGGGGTTGTGCTCAAATTACGGCATCCTGATAGCTGGCGTCTGGGAAGAGACTGTCTCTATCAAGGAAGCCTTGACTGCCAATCAAGAAGCTAGAGATGAGAATGGAGTCTCCGGTGCTTTGGAGAAGGGACCGAAGCTGAAAAGGCCAAGCCTCATTTGCGGCGTTCGCAACGTTCTGCTATTGCGCGGGCGGCATACAAACGGCCGGCTGAGAAGATTTCTTCCTCCCCTGAGGAAGAAGAGACCGCAATTAGTGGGGAAATTCGCAACCAACGACCTACAAGTAGTGTCAATGGGCGTGAGCGTACACGGGGCTTTACCCCGGCGCCGTGGACCACAAAGCAACAGGAGTATTTGGAACAAGCCATTGCTGTGCCGTCAAAGCCCAGCTTGAAGGTCCTTCAACCTGGCTTGAGGGATGAGTGTGGCAGTGAACGAACTCTTGCAGCGATCTCGGAGCACCTCAGGAAGGTCTGCGGTGAACCTTATAAACAGCCCAGTTGGGAGCAAAGAAGAGGAAGCCCTACTAAGAGAGTGTCTTGAATCCCATAGTGCCAAATCTGACGCCATCGACGCATTCTTAAAGCAAAAAGGAAACAAACGAGCCAAGAAATCGGTGGAAAAGGGAGTCAAGCCGAATTGTCGAATGTCTGGACTCAAAGCCACGATGAAGGTCTGTGTTTTGCCTGGGAAGAGTATGATATATTGCCAAAGAGGTGCTCTGCGTTCTGGGAAGCGACTAGGCTTGTTCGTACGAAACGATGCATCCTGGAGCGGGCAGAAGTGCTTGGCTTAGACTTGACTAGCAATGGGCCCGGAAGTTCCGAAGAGCCTTGGACTGAAGACGAAGAGAAGCTCATTAAGCAACACTTATCGACTTGCGACAATCCACGAGACATATACGATGCTTACACACGCAGCTTTCACCTTACCAGGACGTTGGAGAGTGTACAAAACAGAGTAACACGTCTGTCCGGTATTCCGCCCGCCAGGGCTCTGAACAGGGCTTCTGTCTATGCGCGGGAGACAAAGGAACTGAATTATCTAAAATCCTTATCAGTCCCGATCAATCCGAAGGAGCTCTCTGACCAGTGGAAGTCCAAGTTTCAAAGGGAGCGCACTGAATTGGCCATCAGAGTCCAGTTGCGTATCCTTGGACGCGGTCGAGATGCCACCACAGTCCAAAAGTACGACGAAGAGGAAGAGGCCCTTTTGCGCACACTGGAGGCTGAGAAAGCATCTACGCGCGAAATGGTGCAAGCCTTGCAACGGCAGTGTGGTCGAGCTCGGAGCATTAACAGCGTCTATTATAAATTGATGGGTGTTGTTTATCAAACGATAGTTGATCTAAACAGATCATTATGCACTTATGAAATGGACAACCACGTCTCCGGAAGAGATATCGCTACCCGCATTGACGTAAAGCGATCGCTTACGCGCACTGTGTCTAGGTAGGTAGCTGTATTGTTTGTTATGTGCTAAAATATAGTCATTGCGCTTTAGGATGGACTGTGGCGAAAATTACGAAAGATACACGGCACGTATATCTGGGGAAAGTTAGCTTGTGAAGGGGTATTTAATGTTCGTTCAGTAGATGGCGTCTAGTGATGTGATTGGAGAGCCTAAACAGTACTTGAAGTCAAAGAGACGTCTTCCTAGTTAAAAAGAGGGGTTCGGTGTTGCTCGTATTCCTTGCCGCAACGCCTTCTACAGTGAGTATGGGAGATTGCACGGGTAGCGTAGAGGCATAAAGGTCTAGATGTTCCACGATGCATGAATGCGATGCGACACCCTTGGATGAACACGTTTCCTTCTGTCAAGACGAGGGATCGCCGTAAGCCGGGCCTAACAGTCGCTCGTCCTGACAGAAGACAAAGAGGTCGGGCCCCTTGACTGTGTGGCTGTAGGTCGTGGTGTCGCATCGCCCGCGCCCTCGTTGGACGCGGGCGTGTGCTGCATGTGTGTGTGCTGCATGTGATGACCAGAGAGGAAGTGTGGTTCATGAAATAATGACTGGAGAGGAAGCGCAGTCATCGAGGGAGCTATCCCAAGGTGGGCAAGGTGGGGTATCCGATATCGCCAACCATGCGCGATGCGTTGGAGTCGGGCGTCTCTCATTGGGCGTTGGGCATGTGGCATAGTATCGGAGGGATAGCGTGCCGTCTGACTGTGCATCGGCACAGTCAATTCGTTCCTAGAAGGCGCGGACTGTCCGGTCTCGCTCCGGCCGAAACTGGGGTAAAAAAGTTTGTTCTACTTCCACTTTACCCGCCTAACGTTTTCTTTTCTCGCACCAGGACTGTGGCGGAATAAGGTTTTTCTCTTTGGACAATTCGAAAGACAAGGACGACGCCCGAGATTGGAATTCTTCTCTTCTTCCACGGAGCGACACCGTTTCGCAGGCTGCCGACCCCTCGACCACCCACGATGCTTCGTCTCCGAAATCGCCCTGCGAGGGCCGCCACCACCCTCAGCCAGGTGAGATGTCTGACGACCGCGACGCCGCCCGCGGCCACCATTGCACAGAAACGGGTGCCCGCGATGACAAGAAAGCAGACCACTGCGTCTGCCGCCCCGTGAGTCTTCTTTTTTCTTGTTTCTGCCGGACTCGGGTGGTACAAGCCGGCGCACCGCCCAAGGAAAATTCGACTACGTCCTTTTCCATCTCGCGTACGCGGGAACGCCAATCGAACAGCAAACGCACCGCACTTCCAATCGCACAGCGCCCGTCTCGTCCAAATCATTGCGCTTTACTAACAACTTTCGCAGTCAAGTACGGCCTGTGCCGAGCCCAGCTTTCAATATCGAAAGCCAACCGCGTAGAGATGGTCCTGAACCACTCATCAACCCCGCGAGACCCGCCATGGACGAATCGTAAGACATCCCAGCGTCCTTGCAAGAAAGGCATCTACCTGGTCGTCCACCGTCGCTCATGCTCTCACGCTTTAGGTTCATCGGCAAAACTGGTGGCGAAATTTTCCATGAGATGATGCTCAGGCACGGTGTCAAGCATATCTGTACGTCTCCTTCTGCATCCACGGCTGCCAAAGATCTCAGACAAAGCACCAAACATGCTAACCGATCAAAGTTGGGTACCCTGGAGGTGCTATTCTACCCGTTTTTGACGCCATCTACAATTCACCACACTTCGATTTTATCCTTCCCAGGCATGAGCAGGGTGCCGGCCATATGGCGCAGGGTTATGCCCGTGCTTCTGGAAAGCCCGGTGTTGTCCTTGTTACCTCTGGCCCAGGTGCCACGAATCTTGTAACGCCGGTGAGTCTCTCATGATAGCTCAGACTGAACGAACCCACGCGCTGACAAAACCCCTGAAAAGATGCAAGATGCCCTCTCAGATGGCACCCCCTTAATTGTCTTCACTGGTCAGGTAGTCACATCGGCAATTGGCAGTGACGCGTTTCAGGTATTCCATTACTTCGTTGGCCCGTAGGCATAGAATGCTTCTAACACTACTCACTTAGGAATGCAACATCCTCGGCATCTCCCAATCCTGTACCAAGTGGAACGTCATGATTAAGAACGTTGCCGAGCTTCCACGGCGAATTAATGAGGCCTTTGAGATTGCCACTAGTGGTCGTCCTGGTCCTGTCCTTATTGACCTTCCTAAGGATGTCACTGCCAGTGTCCTAAGAAAGGCTATTCGAGCCGAAACTACACTACCCTCCCTCCCAAGTGTTGCCTCCGCTCGGGCCGCCTCTAAGCTAGAGAAGCAGCTTGATGCTTCAATTAACCGCGTGGCTGAGCTTATCAAGATTGCTAAAAAGCCCGTTATATATGCGGGCCAGGGTATTATTCAGTCTGAGGGTGGCGTTGAAGCGCTACGCGAGCTGGCTGATAAGTGCTCTATTCCTGTCACCACAACACTTCAGGGGCTCGGTGCCTTTGACGAGCTGGACGAGAAGAGTCTTCATATGCTGGTAGGTATCCCCCTCCTTACTTATGGCCATATATTAACGATACAAGGGTATGCATGGCAGTGCATATGCTAATATGTCGATGCAAAATGCGGATCTCATCATTGCCCTAGGAGCTAGATTCGGTTCGTTCTTTTAACACCCGACTATGAGTGGACATTCTCTGACATTTTTCTCCAGATGATCGAGTTACGCTCTCGGTGAGCAAATTCGCTCCCAAAGCCAAACAGGCGGCTTTAGAGAAGCGTGGTGGAATTGTTCACTTCGATATCCTACCTAAGAATTTGAACAAGGTCGTCCAGTCTACCGAGGCCATCGAAGGCGACGTTGCAACTAACCTCAGACATCTCCTACCCAAGCTTACGCCCCGGACCATGGAGTCCCGGGCTGAATGGTTTGAGCAGATCAATGCTTGGAAGGCCAAGTTCCCCTTGAATGCGTACGCGCGTGCCGACGACGCCGACGGAAACGGCAGAATAAAGCCCCAAACGGTCATCGAGGAGCTAAGCAATCTAACCGCTCACCGAAAGGAGACAACCATCATTACAACTGGAGTCGGTGCACGTAAGTCTTGCATGATTACCCAACACTGAAACCGCGGGCTGACAAAACCCCTCACAAAGACCAGATGCATGCGGCTCAGCATTTCCGCTGGAGAACGCCTCGCACTATGTAAGTATATGTTGTCTGATCTCTCTTGCTCTCCGTGCCTCTTCACAATGCTAACCTGACGAAGGATTACTTCAGGTGGACTCGGTATGTATAAACTGGCAATGTGAACGTCTTGCTACCCTTTTACTTACCTGAGAACGTAGGAACCATGGGCTTCGGCATCCCATCTGCATTGGGGGCCAAGGTTGCGCGGCCCGATGCTCTCGTGGTAGACATTGACGGAGATGCCTCGTAAGTCTCTTTCTTACCTATCGCTCCATGGCATTTCAGCTAAGAAGAAACAGTTTCTGCATGACTCAAACCGAGCTGTCCACGGCCGCAGAGTTTCAAATTGGCGCCAAATTTATTATTCTGAACAATGAGGAGCAAAGCATGGTCGTGATGTGGCAGAACCTCTTTTATGAGGATCGTTATGCGCACAGTCACCAGAAAAACCCCGAGTTTGTCAAACTCAGCGAGGCAATGGGAGTCCCGGCGAGAAGAGTCACAAAGCCCGAGGATGTACGGGCAAGCCTTGAGTGGCTAATCTCAACAGATGGGCCGGCACTCCTTGAGGTCTTCACCGATAAGAAGGTTCCCGTGCTTCCTATGGTGCCCGCCGGTGCGGGATTGGATGAGTTCCTGGTCTGGGATAGCGGTAAGTTGCTATAATCTTGCTGAGGATGCCCGAGTTTCGCTAATAATATGCTATAGAAAAGGATAAGGCTCGGAGAGAGCTGATAAAGAAGCGGACTGGCGGTCTGCATGGCTGAGCACGTCACGAGAACAGATAGGCAGTAAGGCGGTCTTGATTAATATCTCGCTTAAGCCCTTTTGCAAACACTACTACTGTTGCACCGGACGTGTGATCAATCTATGTATTGTTCTTGTTATATAAGGCATTTTTCCTCTATTAAGAGTGATACCGGTTCTTGGTTTCATCTTCATCACTAAATTTCCAACAACGCTCGTACCAGGAACAGAAAAACAAAGCAATGTGCCGCCAAAATACCAAACCAAGAAAAAGAAAATAGGTAGCAACGACCCTAATTAAAACAATCATAGTAACCCTTTCGGCTCTTTGGGGATGCAAATGCACGAAGAGAAGAAGATGAGAATAAACAGGAAACAATGGCAATAAAATAGGGAAGGCAATGCCCGCCAGGTATTGATACAAGACATGATACCGGGACGATCACTCTTTTCCCGGGGTTGTTGTCGTCTTGGCCTGCAAGTCCGACAACTCCTCGTCCTTCTGCTTCATCCTCTGGAGAAGCACTTCGTATTTGCGCTGCCACTCCTCAGCCGAGAGCCCGTTCATCCCTCCCGCGGCGCCATCTTCTGGACTCGTCGACCCGGGTCTCCTCCACATGCTCTTGGAGACGCTCTGCTCCATCGCGACCTGCCCTACAAGATGCCCGAACCGGTACTCCCATTCGAATTTGTAGTTGTAGCAATCCTTGCCGTCCGCCAGGCGGGTACACTTCACCGGCTTTGCCTTGAGAGCCCGCGCGCCAGCCAGAACTGAGAGGTTGAGGAGAAATGAAGCCGTGTCGGTGGCCGCGTTGATCATGTTCTGCATTACCGAGTTGATTATGGCCGATGCTTCCCCAACAGAGACCGCGTCGTCAGGGTTGCCGTGCTGATCCAGCCAGATCCCTTCTTGTGCTGCTTGCAAGAAGTATTCCATTAACGAGTCCACATTGGTTCTATCCTCCATTCTCTCGAAGTAGTAGTTCCCCACTGGTCCCTCGACTGCATGAGAGCCCTGGTTCTCTGCATCAGATGTCTCGGCCGTCTTCATGTTCGTTTCTATGAATCGAGGAGCTTGACTCTCGATCGTCTTGTTGCTTTCATTTATCGGCCCTCCAGCCACCTCCCCGTTCACCACCACCACAGGTGGGGGCGGCGTTGCAAGCCGTATGGGTCCACCCGATCTCTCTGGTACTTTCAGTGATATGACCGGTCGTGCCGGCCTTGCATGCTCGGAAGACGATCTGACTGGGGGCCGCACTGGGGGTCTCGCCGGGGGAGTATCCGCAGACGTTGAGAACTGGTGGCTCGGGGGCTGTGGCGTCGGACTTGGCGTAACGACCGCCACAGCTGGCGCCTGTGACGGGGAAGACTCCTGGTTGGACTCGGTGATAGGGCTCGCTGCCAGGTTCGAACCCGGCTTTGCAGGTAGCCAGGGCTGGAAGTGGAATCCAGGCCCTTCAATCGGCGTCCGATTAATGGGCGGACGACCTCTGGTCTTGCCCCCACCCTCAGCACCGCCTGCCTTCCAGGCTGACGATACATTCTTCGCACCGCGGCGCTGACGCCCCGGCTTCAGCTGAGATGGCGTGGTCGCGGACTGCGGCTCAAGGGCATCATCCCAGAACGAACCTCTCACTGTCGGGGTCACGGCTGAGGTGGGCCACTGGCTGAATGGCGTCTGCGAGCCATCATTCTTACCCAGCACGGGATGTGCGGACCTGGCCCCGTCAACGTACCCAGAGAGCTGGGGATCACCCAGATTCTCGCCCAGGAACGAGGGCGAAAGTCTTATTTTCTGGGCCGCAGACCCTGGGCCGTCAGACTCGTCCGGTCTTTTACGGCCTCTTCGGGGGCGGATTTGTGGCAAAAGTGCCCGCAGCGCCATGTCGTCCTCCAGGGCAACGCCATCCCGCACCTGCTGCGAGGTTGGGTCGGGATCTCCGGGGACGGCTGTCCAGTATTCATTTTCTACACCTCGAAGATAGTCGAAAAAGGCCTTGATGTGCAGTGAATTCATCCATTTCTATGTCATGTCAGCAATCACGGTCTTACTTACATCCATCACTAATCACCGGCTAAGCCTCATCTCTCTACAATTTTCGAACAGGAGCAAGGGCACACAAGAAGGAAAATTCGCTTCCCAGTTACGGTAGCCTTCTCTCACCTTTAAGCGGACTCCATACTGGGTGACCTTTTGAGCACTTTCCTCCTTCTTCGGGTCCGGAGGCTCCACCCCCAGTTTGATAGTCAGCTCCGTCCATGTTTTTATCTCCTTTCGTAAAAACTGCAGGACTAATTGGTACACGGTGAAGGTTTCGAAGCTCTTCCCGGCGCTCTTTGGCGGGTTACTGAAAGCATCTCGCAGGGCCTGTGTATCCTGGTCGGCAGGTACCGCAGGGTTGCAGTAGAAGATAAACTTCACATATGCATCCTCGAGAGTTGCCGCGGTCACAGCCCTATCGGGCAATGCGCGATTGCCCTTAGGGACGGCACCGCCCTTCTCTGCTCCGTGTGCTGGGACCGGCGCATGCTGCTGCTGCTGCTGAGCCTGCCCATCGAGTGAGGGCATGGCTGAACTCCACCTCCAGCGAGAGGGAGGACAATGACGCGCGCTCGCCTCTCATCACATCAGCTGCAGGAAACAACGCGGCAGTGGGCTCTCAATACGCGGCGGCGCTCTATCAGATGATGAGGATGGCCCGATGAGCTCCCGTTAATGCTTGAGATGAGAAGAGGTTCGTCTCTGTTGGGATCGCTCTCCAGGACGACTGTTGTGCGTGTCGAGTGGGAAAGCGCTATAATTAGCCCCATCTGAAACGGGGCTAAATTGATCCGTGGTAGTTGGCACTGTCTGTGTTTATGCGTCTAGCGTGGCTGCCACAGTGCGACCTCGTATTGCTCCCTTTGGCTAAATTCGCGGGGTAGTACCAAAGGATGTACTGAGAGCTTCAGACAAGTACTACTTCAATTTTTACTTTAAGGTATCTTGGGATAAAACGCAAAACCTGGTCAATGGCTCCAATCGATGCATTAGGAAATACCCCATAACGTATGCAGAGGGCAACCAATTGCCACAGTCAGACTTCGATATATTTCTAGGCCTAGTCTCCTAGCGATCTAGAACACATAGCCGTTTACGGCCGGTATTTTAGCATGCACGTCAACATCTGGAGGATAAAGATTTCAAGAAGAAATTGTTCTGTATAAGAGATAGAGTAAATGAAAAATGCATCGCTTTGGAATAGTCCATCAATTCCAATAAGTTATACCAGAGTGCCTGTAACTCCACGGGATCTCGAGAACCTTGCCCATCCCTTTATTAACTCCTTCATTCTCTAGACATACATAACATCAGATATGTGTGTCTCGGGTTCATCTCAATTCCGAATTCGCTCTGAGCCACAGTTGGCTGTTTCCAAAAAAGACTGGCCGGGTTATTTCATCATTGGTAGAGACAGTGCTGGTTATATGCCTATTAAATGCAGTCCATGAATTCCATCCACGGAAGATATCGCCATAAAATGAATGTATCGGTTTAGTTTCGTCGGCTTCCTCGACCTCTCGTGCTGCCACTCCGACTCATAGCCGTTCCGCCGAGACTGCTCTGTCGGCTCATCGGGGCTGCCGAGTACGAGCCAACTTTAGGACTGGGGTGGTCACGTAAACTTGAGACTGGCAGGTGAAGGGTGTCGTGGAAATGCTCGGGGTCCTCTCGGGGGGCGCTAGTAAATGCGACGAATCGTCCCTGATGGTAGGGAGTCGAGACGGCCTCGAGAACCCTGCGGAACCCTGAGGATACATCGAGATGAGCTCCAGCTTTGTGGACATGGTCATATTGCTTCAGGTAGTTCATGAGTGACAAGTCGGAAGAGATATCATCCTGGGCAAGAGGAACGGGGAAGTTCTGGTCAGAGCTTCTGGGATATGCTTTGAGGTATTGCTGTGGGACAGGCGGTGGCATCTTGGGGGGCTCAAGAGCATGGACAAGATCCAGGTTTGCTGGGATTTCGAAATTGGCAATTCCCTCGATTCCCAAGATTTTGTCATCGACAAAGTTATGGTTCGCGGCTCCGCGTGTACTTCTAGTAGCGTGGGAGACCTGACGCTCCATCATGGGGGCAGAAATTTCGTCGTCGCCGTGCTCGTCACCATTGCCAGAGTCACTATCATCTGGCGATGATCCGTTCCCGTTGAGCCTGTTACGGAGGATATACTGGTGAGCCGCCAGGGCGGCGTTGTTATAGTGGAGAGACAGCTCCTTGTCAGTGAAGAGTTTGTCGATGCTGTAGATCGGACCGTTCTGCTTGGCAGCGGCTCGTGCCTTCTCCGACTGCCAAAGAGGAGTGGTAGAATTGGGATCCAGAGCCCTTCGTGTGGGCGCCGGAGAGCCATCATCCTCGCCGCCGTTGCGCTTTCTCTTCTTGTTATCGGAATACATGTGGAGGTCTTCGGCATCTTTCCGGAGCCTGGTCGCTCGCTTTCCGTGAGCACCGCCGGGACTGGAAGGGTTGGTAATGCTGAATTGGTTTGGGTTGAGTAGAAGGGCGTTGGAGTCGTTGATCTCCAAGACTTCTTTCTCGCGATTCAGTCTGTTCTTCTTGTGTGTCAGGGTATTGATGAGGCGGTCGCGGAGAGTGCTGGTCAAAGCGTTGTGCTCGCGCCTGGCCGTTTCGACCTTGTAGGCATGAACATTTTTGTATTGTTGAGCTCGGAAATCAAATTCATTCTAGTTGGTCGGCCATGTTAGTGAATTGGTTGGTTCGAGTGGGCACACTTGCTGAGCGGACATACCTTGGACTGGGTCAGCTGAAAATCGCGGACCTCAATGAGGTCTTCAACCTCCTCAATGAAGCTTAGAAATTTAGGACCAGCCATGTCCAGAAGGCTTCTGGCATTCTCAGCGTTGACAGTAGGAGCCTGGCTCTCTTTGTGTTCCTTTTGTAAGTCGGAGATGATCTCGAGCGCCCGCTGGTCGTAAGGGTCGAAGCGCTGGACAAGGTTGGTGTCGAGCTGGATCTTTTGGAGATGCTCCCGATAGGTGGTGTCTCGGTCTCGCTGGAATTTCTCGTTCATTGCTGCAAGTCTATCCAAGAGGACCTGGCGTTTGCGGTCTCGCTTGGATTGGGAGGCTGTCGGGGGAGGGGAGCGTCGTTCAGGCCTGCCGCCCACGACAGAGGGAACGGCCGCAGTATTGGCGGCCATGATGAGTTTCTCGATCAGACGAGTGGGAAGGTAGTAGAAACTAAGAAGATAGAATCCAGTGATGAGGTTTAAACGTATGGCGAACCTGGTGATCGCTGGCAAGTAACAAGGGGTCTGTGGTGTCGAATGCGCGGAGTGTGAGCAGGAGAATTGGAAGACTTATTATTGCTACGACGTAGGTAGCCGAACGGAAGTGGCCGTCGCCCAAGTGCAGGACAAGCGCCAGGGCAGCCCGTGCGCTAAGCCGGCAGTAAGATGGGAGGAGTATGCGCAGCACGCCCAAGGAACAATAGACCTTGGATTGCCACAAAAGAAAAGGATATGTGTATGTAATTGTCCCTCTATTCATAATTACCACGGTCATGAAATTTATTCCCATTGCTCACCACCGCCCTCCATAGCTGCTATTCAAACCCACCGTGAATGTCGCAGGTTGGTTTCCTTGGGCCGCCTCACCGCCTACCAAAAGCGTAGGCCGCCAGTAGAGTGCAATTGTGGGACCTACCAAAAGCCAATAAGAACAATTGTGGGATCTCCATGTCCGCAGCTCAGAATTGTGGGTCGTATTCATCACAATCAGTTGTACTGCGATGAATGAGCTGACAATACATTATGGGCAAGATTGAAGGTGAGATTTCTTTCCCAAGTTAGCCAGCAGTGGTGAAATCCGTGATGGCCACATTGCCTAGTATTTCCCAAATATATATCTGCATACAGGCGACAGCAGATTATGATATTGCTTTTCTTGTATACCGGTATAAATACTTTTCCCTGTTTAGAGTGTACAGCTGAGACTCGTCTTGATGAAACCCATCCGTTCTGTTTCTCGTCTTAAATACCATTTCGCAGCCGTTGTAGTTGAGTAAGAAGACCAAATCCACCCGGCATTGTTTTTGATTCCCCAGCTACAGCAGCATCCCTCGTGACGCTGCCCTTCCGTGCCCTCGATCCCTCCAACCTGCCATCCTTCCTAGTCCCTTGTTCCATATCTCTCATCAGATCGCGGTGTCTATCCTCGACCATCTTCGCCAGGCTTTCAATAAACTTATTTCTTCCATGTTCCTCGGATGTTCCCTTCCATACCGTAGTCAGGAGCTTCAACTCCTCGATCCTCTCGGCAGCCTTCGCGATCCCATCTACGGGGTCCTCAGAGCGCAGCAATAAATTTGAAATCTCCTCTCGTAGCTTCCTAATCACCTCCTGGCCCTTATCCTCGGAGCTCTGCTGCTGGGATCCCGGCTCTGGCGCAGACACGGAGAGAAAGGAACTGCTGACCGAAAGCTCTGAGGGGGGGAACACGAATTCCATCGCATCCCCAAACGTTCTGATGACGGCTTCCAGGCGCTCGCGTACCAGTGTGAGGGTCTGCAACTGCTTGACATAGGGCGGGTCCCCTGTACCTTCAACGATATCTGCCTCCTCCTCCGCCGTCTCTGATGCCGGGCTACCACGGCCGTCATCCGATTCTCCGTCTTTCCTCTCCTCTTTCGCAGTCTTTAAGCCCCCTGGCACGAATTTCTCAATATCCTCCTGAAGGGTGTCATGCATGGTCTCCGTGAGGCTCAGGGTCTCTCCACGTAGCAGCTCCACCTCGTAGGCCAGTCTGCTCCCACTCCGCAGGATATCATCGGTCAACGATGTGAGTGTGGTAGACAGCCTTGAAGTGTGGGCATTGAGCTGGTTGATTAGGGTCTGGGCCTGTGTCGACAGCTCAGCAACACCGGAACTCTCTGTGCTCGTTGCCGCTGACCGCTGCAGGGGCGGCAGGGTGGAATTCAGGAAGGAGGCCGGGTCGAAGCCCGGCGTGAGGAACGGTCTGAGGAACTCGTCTGATGTGTGGCTCGACTTTGGCTGGACCTGCACCGGCGCTCCTCGCGCAAGGCCATTGCGGCCGATGGGGACAGCGCTGCTGTTTGTTCGGCGACGGCCCTGCTTCAATTCCGCCGCCATCCTGCCCAAGAAAATGCAAACGCCGAGCAAATAGTTCTACTGCGCCCCTGTGACAAAGGAAAGGCAGAGTGCTGTCAATATGAAAATGCTTGGGACTGGCGATTCAGTTGCGTCGTGCTCTGTCTGTGTGACGGAGGATGGCAATTAGGTGGTCACTGGAAAACGGGCAACATGGTGGGAACGCCGCTGTGAGAGTCCTGACCGAACCAAGCCGATAATATCCCGACCCCATCTTCACTCACAAAAGCCAGTCCAACTCATCAATCTCAAGCCCAGCATTATTCAGCTCACATATACATATTCTTTTTGATACAGTGGATATGAGCGAGGAGATGAAGATTGACCCGGCAAGAGCGCAAGCTCTCATCTCCCAGATAGGGCTTGTCAAAGACCGCATTGCCACTGTCGCCAACGGCCGAAATGTAAGCTCCCCCCGTCATCAAGCACTTGATAAGAGTTCCCAGCCTTGGATTTCTCTCAAATCATATATGACTTTTACTAACAATCGCCTCATCTCCTTACCAGGTCCGTCTGGTCGCTGTCTCCAAACTGAAGCCCGTCAATGATATCCTGGCTCTTCACCAGGACCCAGTAGCTCAAACACACTTCGGCGAGAACTACACCCAAGAGCTCACACAGAAAGCCGAATTGCTGCCGCGCACGATCCAGTGGCACTTTATCGGTGGTCTGCAGTCTGGTGAGTCTGGCAGTCTTCATCCGTCCTCATTTCCCCTACTTAATTTCATGAGTGAGCCAATGAGTCACTGATCCCACCCAACCATACAAAGGCCACTGCAAGACTCTAGCCAAGATTCCCAATCTCTTCAGCGTATCCAGCGTGGACACGTCTAAGAAGGCGCAGCTTCTAAACACAGCACGCACCAACCTCATCAGCTCCGACTCTTCCACCTCCAAGCTTGGTATCCACGTCCAGGTGAACACCTCCGGTGAGGAGGCCAAGTCCGGGTGCGCCCCCGGCTCCGATACCGTGGCCCTCTGCCGCGAGATCATCGAGACTTGCCCAAGCCTAGAACTCCTAGGCTTGATGACCATTGGCGCCATTGCGCGAAGCAAGGCCACCACAGCGGAGACGGAAAACGAAGACTTCCTCACGCTCCGGGATCAGCGACAGCTCGTTGCCAAGGAACTGGGACTGGATGAGGGCAAGCTGGAACTGAGCATGGGCATGAGCGAGGACTTTGAGGGAGCGATTAACCTGGGCAGCAGCGAGGTGAGGGTTGGGAGCACCATCTTTGGCGAACGGCCAGCAAAGGCCGACGCAAAGATCAAGGTTTAAAATGCAGCAGTCATCAAATAAGAATCAGAAAAACTCCATCGTTGACATCACAATGAGACAGAAATCCTTTCGGAAGGCGTCGCTTGTTGCAAAATACGTTCATGTGTGAGCAAACGTGATTTTAGAGATCACGCCAAGGAACATCTCATTTCATCCTACATATACTAGAAACATTTTAAATATCTGCCCGCCAATGTAGCTTGTAGTCAAAAATGTTAGCAGTTTTTAACGCTGTCATGCTTTCAGAGTGAACGCCCCCAAATTAACCTCATGCCATCATCAGAATGAGTTATATACACTCTGTAAAGAGAATTACTGTTGGCTAGATTTCCGACGCTCCCAAATTTTACGGTATCCCCCTTCATCATTGAGCACCTTCGTAGATGGTAATGATTCCTCTAGACAGTCGGTCCTTGATCATTTTCAGAAGAATGGGTGCAACTGTATCTTCTGTAGCGCGGATCGTCAAACGAATCATCTGAGAGAGCACAACTATTAGAATATCGTATCGACGACAAATGGCCCGGAGGGGTCTGCTTACCTGACTAGAATAGTTTGGCTCAAGCCTCATCAAACAACCAAACTTGCCTCCTTCGGCCGTATGAAGCACGCCAGCACCGACAATGTTCTTGGGGTTGGGATCAACCATATCCAACACCCGCCATCTGAAGCCACTGACTGTTTTGGTCACGAAATCGGGAGTTATCTCTCGGTGACCTCCCCCGCCCGAAAGGCCAAAAATGTCTTGCGCCTCGCGTGGAGCACCCCCAATCTGCTTCCATCTCTTGAAGAAGTCTTCTGCGGTAAGATCGGCAGGGTCCATGAACTTGTGGATGGCAACAGGAAGCTTGAGTGTGACGGCCTGCAGAGCACCAGCAAGATAGCTGATCCTCACCGTCGGGCTCTTCTCAAATATCTTCTTGGCTTCAAACATGATGACTTGTTGCGTTTGTGATCCTGGAAGAACGTTGCTCTCAGGGAGTGTCTTGGTATCCCATGTCAACTTACCCTTTTCGGATTCATCCAAGTCCAAGGTAGTAGTAAACGAGCCCAAAGCTGTAGGGGCCTTATTGCTGAAGTAGGCAATGATACATGCCATCTGGCCACGATATTCGGATCGGATTCCAACTTGAATCTGGCCGTCTTCATACAAAACTCCCTCGCCTTTGGCAATCAATCTATTATAGCCCTTCTCCCATCCAGGGGACAAGTGCGCCGCACTGGCAAGATTAGGAGTTCGAGGGGTTATAGGGGAAGTCATGTCCAGACCAGCGAGCGATGCACCATTGCCCAATTGACCATTTCCAGCACCGTTCGTGGAGGCGTTAGAACTAAACGTCCGCTTAAGACGTGGTGTGGCCATCCCCAATTCAGTGTTATCGGCATTTGCATCCTTGCCTCCTACAACCCAAGTCCTGCGATCACTGGTGTTGGCATGCTTTCGGTGGAGTCGGGATAAGAGGGCAGACTGCCTCTCAGGGAATGGTGGCATTTCGTCGCACACAGTCCGGAGAAGATCGTCAGTAGAACGGGTGGCAAGTGCATAATATTCGCAAGCTCGCTGCTGCATCTCCGAGTCCAGAGTATGGCTATAGATGTCGAACTGGTTCACGAGTTGGGGCTTGATTTCAGGGAATAAGTTGACAAATTTGATAAAGCATGACAAGATCATGGAGCGGGTGCTGGATGAAGATGGCGCAACCTTTGACTGCAGGGCGATGAACTGCTCGATGGGGCTGCATTTAGGCTGGTCTGCAATCAGATGACCGAACTCGCCAAGGAGGTAGGCACCAATCTTGACCAGAGTCTCATGGCAGTGATCTGACCTCACATACTGAAGGATATTCTGCGCCGCATAGACTTGAAGTTCCTCGTTGTTGGTCACGATCTGTATCACTCGCTGCCAGACCTCGTCGCTAACGTGGTCTCCAGCCATGGCGATCAGTCGAAGAGAGATGTCGACATACCACTGAACATCGGTGGCATATTTCTCCGTCAAGATGGCAATCTTCAGAACCATTTCCTCTCTGATGGCAAAGTCGGCATTCTGGAGGTAATGGAGAAGCTCGGCCACAATGATCTGGGCATTGTCTGTGTCACACATGCTGTAAAGCAGGTCGAGACCCTTCCTGCGAACACTGATATCTCGGTCCTTGAGGGAGCTGAGAATGATTTCCTGGTGTTGCTTGATGGGCTGCAAAGTCTCTGCCCGCGCAGCAAGATGGGTCATGGCCTCCAAACCCAAGTACCTCACGTTGGTCTCCCTGCTTTGGATGAAGCGTCCCAGGCGAGAAGAAATCTGCTTCATCAATGCATGCTCTGTATCAAGATGAATGATGAGATCGATGGCCTCGAACAAAACCGCATTCTGCGCATTGTTTTGTTGTACATTCTTATTGGGCTCCATGGCGAGGTTGAGAATTTTCTGCAGCACCTCTCTCATCATATCTCTAACATGTGTGTCCTCTAAAGAAGGTCGGGGTTAGCCATTTACACGCTTCAGCTCACACAATACAGAGTCAACATACCGGAAGGGGGGAAGTATTGGAGAAGTCGAAGTAGCTTTACTTGCAGCCAAGGGCATGGGACCTTATAATAAAGATAGTCGGTGGTATACTCCCCGTCGATAATGATGCGCTTGAGCCTCGCCGCCGCCTTGGCATAGGCTCCTTTGTAGAGGTCTAGGTTGTCTTGGGCCAACGCCATGACCAAAGATGTGACTGAGAGTGCGACACCAACATCAGTATCGTCCATCAAGTGGATAATTCGTTCAGCCCATTGAGGTGATACGATATCCGGGTGTTTCCGGTACAGCCGCAACAGCGTCAGAGCTGACTTCTTTTTCACGAATGACTTGGAAGTCGGGGAGATCAAAAGCCGATGCACCTCGCTATTCAGGGCCTCTCCCATCTCACGGCTACCAACGTTGGCGATGGCATGCAAGGCCAGACAGTTGAACAACTCATTGTGGTCCAGGAGATCTTTCCGGATACTGTTGACGACCAGATGCAATAGCTCATGCTTTTCATGGAGAAACAATGTCATCGCAAGATACCCAATTTGTTTCTCAGAGTATTTGCTAGCAGAGATGAGGTTGACAGCCTCGAGATGGCCAAAGTCGACATCCCAGCCCATGATGTAAATGTACAGCAGCTTGCAAACGTATTTCTTCTTGTGATATCCGCTGAGGTTGGCCTCTTTGAACTTTTGTCGGATATTCGCGAGCTCCTTGTTGATTCGCTTTTCCTCGAGCTCACGGGCACGCGCATTCCGCAAATCGGCGATGAACTGGACGAGCCCTCGCATGTTGGCATTGCTATTGCTCGACCGGCCGAGGAAGCCGGATCCTGGGGTAGACATGTTGCAAGGTGCTTACTAGCCCTTGGGGCTAAATTCGAAAAGAATGGCGGTTTGGGAAGCTCGGCGCAGGTGGCGGTCGGCCAACAGAGCTCGAAGCAGGGCAAGAAGTCGAGGACGAGACACACAAACTCCAAACAGTATAGAGCTATGGCGGAACTCTCATACTCCGGAACGAGGGGCCGATTTAACTCAAGCGGCCGGCATTGAATGGAGGTCCCCAAGCTTGGCGCTGTCCGTTCGAATCGATAGGGATGATTGTAAATCGAGGGGTTCGCTGGTTCGGCGGAGCGCCAGTCAAGGAAGCAGCGGCAGTGCGGAATAAATGGGCAAGCCGACGCAGACGGACGTATCGGGACGTAGCAGCGACACCAGCAGGTCCGGGAGTTGGATGATGCAGCAGATGCCGAGTCGTGTACAGCTGAGGCAAGGTATCTGCAACGGTGTGAGATTGGGAGATTATGGGCAGCCGGGAGTTCGTCCCACCACTCACTGAAGATGCTAGCTAGGAGTGGCCCCAGAGCACATAAATGGTGGGAACGCTGCACGGGCCAACACAGTCCTAATCCAGCACGACGCCAGTCACGACCAATCGGTCCACCATCTTCCCGTCGCCGTACTTCAGCTACTATTGACCACTAGATGCTGTGTCCATTCCTTCTCAGGGTACCCTGCAGCGCCCGGTTTACTGAAGCTGGCCTGATGGTAGTGGGAGTTCTGTTATTCACACTTGCGGTAAGGCTTATAAGTTCCCGCCTGATATCAACAAGTGCTACCCCAGAGTCGCACTGCCGTTCGCACAGGACAGACAATGCGGACCAAAGTTCTAGGCCCAGGCATGTATCAGGGTGCCACAAATGGTATGCGTCAACATTAAATCCCGACAGATGCAGAGGACAGGAAGAATCATGCAGGAGCCCTACACTCTGCTACTATAACATAGATGCCCTATCCACAATACCTCAACCGGCTCTTTAGCATTGACACTCTTGAATTGATGGGTTCGCACTCTAGGCTAGCCGTTGATGTAAGATCTAAGTCACTTTGCTTTTGGCGGTGGCTAGTGGGGCCGATGCCGTCAACCTCTAACCAGACTTTCTCGATACCTCATCACAATATTTCTAACCTGCATTAAAACGGCCGCCTGCTTCGAATTCGTACAGAATTACATGCAACCACCCCTGCACACCTCCAATCCAGTCTAGATTGGAGTAGCATGTAATGTCAGGATGCGCGCGATCTCTATTTCCGGCAAGCCGGTGCTTGTCCAGCTCGCGCCAGCTTCCAATCTCAACCTTTAATCGAAGGGCCTTTGCGGTTCAGTCTGGTGGTGCACCTCGTTTCCAGGTCTTCAACCGGCGCACCAAATGGCTCCAGAAGGAACGCACAGCTATAAACCCAGAGGAAAGCCGCGTGGCCGATTATCTGAAGGATGAGGTTGCGTCGCGGCTCACAGAGCGACTGCTGGTTCGTAGTTCAAACCCCCACCACTGAGGCGAGCTGTCGCCGTAAAGAAGCTCACTAACGAATTGACTTGCCAGGATATCAAGCGTCATTTCCCGAAAGTTCTTGATCTAGGTGCCAATTCCTGCAATATCGCAAGAGCCTTGGTGCGAGACAACCCCGACCCCGATCCAGACCTGCCCGCCTCCCCACCTTTGGTCACTCGCATCTCTGAGCTCGTTGCCGCCGATTCTTCGGAAGGCCTCCTGTACCGCGATGCGGATCACGACTTCAACAAGCAGATCAACATTACTCGTCAGGTACTAGATGATGAGGAATCACTCCCTTTCGAGCCTAACTCCTTCGATCTCGTCATGAGTTCTCTGAGTCTCCATTGGATCAATGACCTCCCAGGTGTCTTGACCCAAATCAACAGTATTCTCAAAGAAGACTGTCCATTCATTGGCGCTATGCTGGGAGGCGACACATTATTCGAGCTTCGAACATCTCTGCAGCTCGCTGAGCAGGAGAGGCGGGGCGGTATCTCACCACATGTGTCTCCCCTAGCGGACGTCAAAGACGTCGGAGGCTTACTCCAGAAGGCCGGTTTCAAGATGCTGACGGTGGACATCGACGACATCATCGTTGATTACCCCGATTCCTTTGCATTGATGCAGGATCTTCAGGCCATGGGTGAAGGGAACGCTATTCTGGGACGAGAGATGGGCCCAATTAGCAGGGACGTTCTCCTCGCAAGTGAGGGCATTTACCGAGAGCTGCATGGAAACCCCGATGGATCTATCCCTGCTACATTCAGAATTATATATATGATCGGTTGGCGCGAGAGCGCGAACCAAACCAAGCCTCTGGCCAGAGGCAGCGGCGATATCAACCTCAAGGACATCCTGGAACAAAAGTAAATAGTATTCTCGATTTTCGATATTCCCGGAAGGATCCATCTCGGGGGCTCCAGTATGTAATGGCATCGTCCCTCATGTAACAAAATCAAAGCAGCGTGCATTTAGAGACCTATGTGTACCCCGTTCCGTCCATCTATCATCTCTGTGTACCAGCCACCAACACCGATTACACTCTCCTCCAATCCGTCATTGTGCGGGTGATGCAGCCCAGACCCGCGACTTCCACGACCTTCTCGTGCCAGCTCAGCAAAACACTCATAGCCGCAGCAGCGGGCTCGGCGCTTCCTGGTCGTGAGGCAAACTGGCTGAATCCACCAGTCGACTGAGGAGTAACCTTGCTAGCTCCGTTGGCTCCTCCTCCCATTCCCTTGTAGCTGTATATGTCGAGATAAAGTCAGATACCATTGTCCATTTCTTCCAGAGATTGGAGAAGGGAGAAGGGAAACACCCACATATACTTGACGAGCACATCGAGTGCCTCGCTTCCGCCCTCGGAACCGTAGATGCTCTTGAGTAGAGGGCTCATTTCGCTCGCTTTGATCGACTGCAGAACCTCTAGGATGGTCTGCAGATGCGCATCCTTCAAATCGCCAATTCCATGTCAGCGGGACCTCTCCTCACCAGAAACTTCGACGTCATCAACCGCCCGTGACCATACCTTGGCACCATCAGTTCCATTGTAGACCGGTGTATCCAAGCACCCCCTCAGGGCGCCCTCGGTGTCGCCTCCGCGGAGAAGCTGCCTAACCTGGCCCGCGAGCTGCCGCACCTCCGCCTCGGTGATCTCTGGTTGGGGGGGGCGGAGAGTCGAGGTGTCGAAGTTGACGCTAGACTCCTCGGTGAGTGCGTCGATGTCGATCGTGCGCCATGCGTCGCTCAGCGTGGCGCTGGTGTGCTGCTGGATAATTGACATCTTTCCTCGGTGTCTTCCTTCTGGCAAGGTTAACTCGTATATCGGTGAGGGCTGGGGTTGTAGCTGAGTGTCTGCCTTGAAGCTAGGCGGGATCGCTCATGTGTGGTGCGTCAGCGAGCTGGCGGGGTGGAGAAATGCTGTGTGGGGGAGAGCTTTGTGTGGCACCGCCTACCCTATACCACACGTGGAAACCTCAACTCATGAGATGAGATGGATATGTATTTCATCATTGTTCGATGAAATGTACCACAGCCTCTCAATGACGACTCATATTGGGAACTCTCTTTCCGATTTACTCAATTGGGCCAATACAGAGGTCTCCCGACGACGGATGCGTTTGAAGTAAGACGCAGAAATCTCACGGACATATTGTATCTGATTCGCTAAATTGTCCGTCTCCGAGAAGATGTGCTAAGACGGACAAGCAAAGGCATATAGAACACAGGCTAGGCAAACGTATCCCGAGGACACAGAAGAAGACCAGGGAAGAACGAAGAGTTCTACATCTCAAACAAATCTGACTATCGCGAACCATTACGCCCCAACGGTTTAAGATGACTCAACCAATGTTGCGTTGCTGGGATGCAACCATTCGGAAACCCGTCAGGCTTCGATAATTCTGCATGCATTGACCGAAGACCTTTAACGTGTTGCCAGGAATACGGCATGTTATGCGACGGGCCAAGGTAGCATTGCGCTAGTACTTCATATCAGCCTCATCATGGGTGACCAACATCGGCAGTATGAAGCGGGCATAATAGCGTATGAGCATAAACCAGTCGGACTTAAAACAGCGTGTACTGACATGGGACACGGTATTCCGCAGATCACGCCTTCTAGAACATTACATTGCCTGGATTGGGATGCCGTGTCCGGGGGTAAGCAGAAAGTTCTGTTGGCTCAGGCGTGAGAAATTGCGACGTGCACGCTAGCTTGGGAAGAGGAAAAAAAAAAGAACCTCCTACATGTCCCCGGGGCATGGCACACGTTCTGGTTAAAAAAAGAACCGCCAGTGACACCCCGGCGCCTGGCCAACATGCGCACATAGGTACAATTTAACGTGTAGTGCGGCGGAAGCTGTACCGCCGGCGCAAGTAGGGCCACTTTCCGGTTTAGGTCCGCTCCGGAACACCGGCGAAGGTTCCCCCGCCCCACAACGTCGCTGGGAGAGGGCAGGTACAGAAGTGCTCTCTCGTACCCACATACCCATTACACTTGGGACCGGACGAAAAACGAGGCAAGCCCCAGACCCAGCTCAGAGGATATGGGATGGGGTCGCTTGTGCGGTTAGACATGGAGGCTGGAGCCGGGGCAGACCCTGATGAGAAGCGCCCCTCCGTGGGCCGTCTGTGGCTGGGAGACGGAGCCTACCGTCGCTACCGCCGGAGTGGTCGATGTGAAGCGTGGCATTTGACAAGCGACTATAATTCGCCCCAGTCGTGGATGTAGGGACCCAGGGAGGAGAAAGGCAAGCAGGCATTTCTCTGGATGTCGGTCCTGTTACCTGCGTCGTGTACGTTCCAGAGCTGTATCCCTCAAACAGAAAGGAAATACGTGGCGCATGGGAGAAGAAGAGAAAGAGAGAGGGCGAGAGAGCATCGACCCAAGGAGACTTGCATCTGTTCCCCGTGTTACAGTTGGATACCGAGCTGAAACCCCGACAAACCATACATCTGGGTAGTCTGTTGCAAACTTCATACAACATCAATGGAACCCCAGGAATGCCA